AAAATAGAATTTATTTAAGATATATAAGCATTATATCAATACTAAAGAATTATAAAAATTAAATTACAAATTAAAAACTATAAATTAAAAATTAAAAATTAAAAATTATTAAATATATTAAATTTAATTTTTTTATTATCTTTTTGAATAAAAAGTTTAAAAATAAAACAAAAATATATATTAAATAAATAAATAAATTAAAATTTTTTTATTACTTAGAAAAAGCTTGCAAAATCTTTTTAATTAAATAAAATAATATATAATTTATTTAAAAATGAGAACTTGAATTATTAATATTTTTTAAAATAAAAAATTAAATAAAAATAATTATCAAAGTAAAAATTTATGAGTAATTATAAAATAAATAAAAATTTAATTATTAAATTAAATTTGAACTTTCAAAAATATTTATTTTAAAGCTTTAAGTATTAATATATATATATATTATATATTTAAAATTATATAAAATTATTAATATTTATTAAATATTTAGTTATATAAAGTATTTAATAAAATTTTTATTTATAAAAATTTGCAAATCTATATTTTCTAATATAAAAATAAAATTACTTAAGATATATTAATATAATATTTTATTAAATATTAATAAATTATAAAAAATTAAAAATAATTATAAATATAATTAATAAGAATTATATAAAATATTTTAAGCAAACTTAATTTATAGATTAGAAAAAAATATATCTAAATTATTAGATAATTTTAATAATTTTTTATTATTCTATATATTATATAAAAAATTTTGAATCTTTAAAATATTAATTATATCTTTTTATTTTATAAAAAAAGGAAAATAAATATTAAATCTAAATATAATATAAATAAAGGAAAGCAAAATAAAATTAAATAATAAATAAAAAGATATTTATGAGTATTTTTATAAATAATAGATAATTATAAATAAAATTAATAATAAATAAAAAGTATTTAAAAGTATTTTTTAAGTATTTAATAAAATATAAATAAATATTTATAATAAATACTCATAAGTTACTAATGAATTTTTACTATTATAATTAATATATTAATTATATTCATTCTAAATTATAGAATTTTTAAGTAATCTTATTAATTAAAAATTTTAATTTCAAAAATTATAAAATTATAAAAATTTATATTATTATAACAATATTTGATTTTTCTAAAGAAGATTAAGTTCTAGTAAAACTAATTAGATTCTTTTTTTTTAAGAATGTACAAATTATAATAGATAATTCTTTGAAAATTAGATGCTTTTTGAAGTTTATATTTTTATAATAATTAATAAATATACTTGACAAGCAGAAAATATTTTTTTACAGAAAGTAATTTCTTTTGAATGAATCAAAATATATTGTATCTTCTGAGTTTTTTAATAATTTTATTTTGAATATTATTTACAATTCTTTAAAATAATAGTATCTTAAGAACTATTCTTTATTGATCTGATTATTTTTGTTTTTAAATATATTATCAAAAATAATTAAAAATAAAATTAAATAATAAATGAAATAATATTATAAGTAAATTTATAAATAATAAATGAAAAGTGTCTAATAAGTATTTCATGAGAATCTAATAAGATGCTAATGGATATCTAGAATAAATACTCATGGATTGCTAATGAGTCTCTACTTCTATAATTGATATATCAATTATATTTGTTCTAGATCACAGGATTTCCAAGTAATATCTGATTGATTGAAAATCTTAATTTTCAAAGATTATGAAATTAAAGAAATTTATGTTACTATAATAGCATTATAAAATAATAATCTTCAAATTTAATGTTATCACTATACATATAATTGAATTTAATTGTGACAAAACTAGTTGATGTGCATATAATGAAAAATTTTTAATAAAAAAAATCGTCAAATTTAATTTTGAAAATAATGAGTGGATTTTGATTATTATATTAATTACATAGAGCCCTTAATTAAATCTTTTATTCAATTTACAAATTTTGTATAAATAATCCTTAAAAAAATACAAAAATTAATTGGCACAAAAAAGAATATATTTATTCAGAACCGGCTCATACGACCATTTTCATATGCAATTTTTATACCATTTCAATGCCATATCGAGATCTTTTGGGTATATTGCTAACATTCAGCCATTTTGAATTGAGGCTTATTTAACCCGAATTCAACTAATTTAAATACATTCAAATGCGTTTCTCTAATTTCTATTTGTCCCACTTCCTTGAAAGCAGCATTCTGCAAGAAAATATTGAGTATCATTATCAAAGTGTTTATTCTGTAGATTTCTGAAAATACGTAAATGCTTTCTGCAAATCTTTATAAATATCCTTGTAGTAATAGCATCTACAAAGTTCAAATATTCATTACTTTCATCCCTTGATGATTTTAAAAACGATTCAGACACCATTCAAATGCTTTTTTGAGTTCTTATACCTTCATCGCAACACCAACAGAGATTTACATTGACCATTAGCATTTCCACACGCTGGTAAGTCAAATACCACCCAAATGCTTTTTTCTCATCTTTTGTATTCTGATTCCAATGTTAATAACACGCACCAAGATAATTCCGTCCTATAGCATCTCCACTCTCTACTAACTTCAAATAAAACTCAAATATCTTTTTTTCGTCTTTTTGAGTTCCTACACCATTTTGATAACACCAACCAAGATTTCATTGTCCTCTCGCATCTCCATCCTCTGCTGTTTATATGAGATTCAATAGTATCACTTTTTGAAAACATGTAGCTCGTTCTTGACAAAACAAGTTAAATTTGAAAGCTATACGACCTTGGCTAAATACAAGGATTGTCAGTTCGGTTAAAAATCATTTATAAATATTCCATCCACAAGTCAGAAAGAATTTAATTTTCTTTTATAAATCCGGATTTTAATCCAGTTTTGGATGTTAAAATAAATACTGCTTCCAATCTTTAGAATTTACAACTTTGAATGTGAAAAATTTTTCTAATGTCTGCAACTAACATGCTTTGAAATCCACGCATTTCTCTGCTTCGTCTCAAAAATAGAAATCGTTTGTAGCGTTCCTAAGGTGAAAAAGTCCCTTTCGGCAGTGAAATTTCATTAAAAGAACATTCATCTCAATTTATTACAGTATATAGCATGACTAAACGTGTATTGATATTCAAAAATGCCAACAAAAAACTTATGTTAAAAATTAACGTTATTAATCATAAGTTGAGATGGAGTGCATCGCTATTCCAATTTAGTCAGCAGAAAATAATTTCGATGCAATGTATGGTTACATGTACATGTTATAAAACACGTCAAAATCAAATTTTAAAAAAATAAATTTCTACTCTTTTAGATAAAAATTAAGCCAGTACATAATTTATGTCTGATATACGTGTCAAACATGCTGCTATGCCAGGATATCAATTTATATTCCAATATGGCGTATTTAAATGATGTCCAAAAGATTTCGCAGCACGTATTCTGTACATGTTCATAGTAAAAAAGAAAATTCGACATAAGTAACAGTAACATGTACATGTATACGGAAAACTGAGAGTTCATTTACATGTACATGTTTTACGGAAATTTCTACAGCGACGCCCATAATTGATAAAATTAACTGTTACATTGTATTCTGCGCAAAATTTCTTTGGTGGAATTCTAGCTAAATATGGTCAAAAGACAATGAAGATCAATATATATAAAAACCACATATAAATCTCGAATTTGCTTTCTGCTAATATTGCAGTTGTAAACGTATTTTTAAATATCGTTAACTTGGTAATTTAGTAATTTAAAATGGCCGAGTCAATGAATCCATTTGAAAATACGTTAGTGGTATGCAGTATATGCAATCTGGAAAAAGTTGAAAAATCATTCGAAATAGTTACCCAAAATTGCATACACGCAAATATCACATGTACAGCTTGCGTAACAAAGCACCTTAAAGTCCAATCCAATTACGGTGAAACCATGATAAAATGCCCCAATTGCGAAAGCATATTTCAGAAATTAGATATAAAACGATTTGTTTCGGAAGAGGATTTTAATAAGTAATTATTTGGTGATATATTTGCTTTCTGCTCATTTTAACTTGAGATTCGTGCCAATTTAATGTTTCAATAGATACATTGCTGCGTTCGCGAAAAGTGATGATTTCCATTATTGCTTACATTTAAGATGCGGCTCTGGTCAGAAGCATTTTGCCATGGGTAAAAACATGATTATTCATTTTATAACTTTTTTAGATCATTTATGTCATTCTATTCCTTATTACATGTATAGAATCATCGATTATGACATGCGATAAATGCTCCGGAAAAACATGCCTAAAACATGGTCGCCCATTAAAACAAGACTTCGATTGCAGATTTTGTGAACTTGATCGAATTTCCGATTCAAAAATAAAGTATCTTCTTAGACTTGTCAAAAGAGTCTTTTCAATGAATCCGGAAACGCCAGAAGAACAAGCAGAACGCAAAGAAATAGCCCGGCTAAGGAATTTGAAGAAAGCAGATAAAAAATCTAAAAGATTTATTTCTCGAAACACAAAAGCTTGCCCAAGCTGTGGCGTCCGAATTCAAAAATGGGGTGGTTGTAATCGTATACGTTGTTGGTCGTGTCATAATCACTTTTTTTGGAAACGATATAAGAATAGGAGCGACAATAAACCGCTTGATCATTGAGTTATTTATATTAATATAGATATATAGACACATGTATGTAACATATTTTTGCGTGTTGTCGTTTTCTTTACCACGCAAAAAAGGTACATATGAACAATATTTACATTGAAAACCAAATTAATCAATTATTTAGTAGAACATGAGAAAGTAACGCTAATTGTTGTTATTAAGACCTTAAGCACAATAAAGACATCATAAATTTCGTTGTCATTATAGTGAATCATTAATAATGTCGCTATAGAGTAGGAATTTATATGAACCATCTTGGTCATTTTTTTTAATATAAAAAAATTATCAAAATATTATATAGAGAGGTTGACTTGTATAATATCTATATAAATCAAAGTATATAAATTAATTATGATCTTGATGAGTTAAACTTTCAATAACGCTCAACATAATCATCGTAAAAACAGTGATCATCGGCGCCAAAGCAATATACGAATAAGCTAACAAAGCGGCGACCTCCTCTTGAAAAGAACCAGTAATCTGTGCCATATTCATAGTATTGATAGCAGTTGGTCCACTAGCAGCCAGCATTAGCACAAACCATAACATCGGATCATCGAAATACCAGCCTCTAGTTAACACCACTAATGAGATCCCGATAATTGGCATAATTATAAATCGACATGTCATAATGTAAGAGATTATTGGGAGTAGTTCGCGACTTTTGTGTGGTGAAATGTTATTTAGTTGTGCACCGAGAAGGAGGATCGTGAATGGAATTGCTATTTCACCTATATATTGTACTGGCCGTGTTATCACTGTGTAGAGGATTGCAGACTCTCCAAAGAATAGGGATCTTATAGTGGGGATCGTTCCTACTATTATTGCTATTAATGCGGCATAGAGAGGTGCATTCATGAAACCATTGATTTTATTGATTAGATTTGAAAACGGTGCATGGGGTGTTTGATGCGACGATGAAGATAGTAATGGAATATTTTCGGTATCTATTTGTTCTTCGTCGGCAACATCACTTTCTTTTTTTTTAAGTAACCACGTACCAAGACTAAATCTATGAATTGAAATAGGAATAAATCTTTATTATTGACACTGAAAAAATTACATGCAAAAATCATACCTCAGAATATTCGCCAATAAAGTATTTAATAACGCATAAGAAACACCACGAGCAAACGCTTTTTTTGGCTTGTCATGCTCACCCCATAACAAAAACTCAATCGCTTCAGTAGCCGCCAAACTCTGTATTAATCCAATAGGCATCGACGTCACATTGTTAAATATTATTCCGGTAGCGATTAATCTGGTTTGTGAATTTGAGAAATTAAATATTTTTCCGCCGACTAAGCCCAGAAAACCACTTATTAAAGAGGTTGTTATGAAGAATGCTGGAATGGGCCATAATCGAAGTAGAGTCTCAGCGTCAATACTTTCTGCTACTTGAGCGAATAACAGACATGGCAATAATAATTTTACAGTGAGCTTTGAAAGACCCTTTTTTATATAGTGGATTTTGTTATTGTTGGGTTAAAAATAGACATGAGATAATAATCCCAGAATTACACGTACCCTTTGAGCGTTCGCATTTAACACATCATATTTTGCACAATAATATCCTGTCACCGCTACAATAAGAATCAAAGAACTCGACTATACATTTAATTAACATGTTCATTAATATCAAGTATTTAATGAATGGACAAATATTTAATTCTCACCTTCACTGAAAGTATTAATAAATGCAAAAAATTCATCTTGGTTCGACTTTTTCTCAGAATGAAATGATTTCTTAATCCTAGACTAAATACATGTTATCGTTATTCATGCACATGTTCATGTTATAACGATAAACAAATCACGAAATATATATTTTTTAGTGCAGGCGGCAAATGAAAAAATTTTGTTTATGCAACTCAGCAGCAGTTAGCGTGTAACTTGTCAACGGACCAGTAAGATTTCTATTTATTCACACGACATGGCGATTAGAAACAAAGAATTTGATCACCAGGCTCATATTCTCTAACAAATGAATACGCAAAGATAACGTTATATCTCATCATCATGTCATGAATTTCTTGTAAAATGATATTTTTTTCATCTTTAATTTCATATGATAGGATTTGTTTGTACCAAAGAAAAAATATTAAACAGTAAGTCAACTTCGTCTGGAGCATGTAAGCAGATTCTTACAGGGCCTGATGTTCAAATTAAAATTTTAATTACTGTGAAACGCTTATATAGTATATTTCGTATAAAAGTGCACACCTTTATCATTAGCGTTGAAATTGATTTCGAAAGAGTAAATTTGTTTTTGTTCAATGCATTTTTTTGATATTCAATTTTATTTCTAGACACTCTTCAATATTTTTACTGAAAAAATAAAGAATTCAGTTCCCAATAAGCTTCATCGTCCCTGTGGATAGATTACTCCTTTATAGATGTCATAATACGAGATCACCATCATTGATTTCACTTACAAAATGGTAGTTCACCGGTTAAATTCTCGTCCTAATCATCCCAAGCTATAAATATCCGCAACTTTAGTGAATGAATTCTTATAAAAATTATTTCGTCCAAACTCAGCAATGAAAACATCAAATATTAATTGTGGGATAACCTATTGCTTCGAGCATTCATTTGTAATTGTGTTTTAATTATCTTACAATAACTTATTCCAAAGTACATCACACTATTCTTAGAGGAATCCGAAAATATTTTAATTGTGTTAAAGATGGAGTCAAATGCTCATCATTGTAATGAATCTTAAAAGAGATAATAGATACTGCGATGATGTTTAGTTCACACAACACTCATAATTGTAGTAATATTTTACGTTGACGGTTTAAATATCACTTAGAATTTGTATCGATGAATTGTCTAGCGGAGATAAGGTATCGACAATCTAATAAAAGAATTAATGAATGTTATGAATTATTCGAATGGATTGCTTTTGAAAGATTTACCAATGTTGTAAAAAGAGGTTTTGGATCAATTTATAAAGCAACCCTGTTAGATAGACTAATGTATAAGCATAGAAAATGGGATCATGAAGAAAATAAATTTAAACGGTATGGAGAACACGAAGTTGTGTTGAAAACATTACACAATTCAAAGCAAATTACCCCCAGAGTTTATACATGGGTAAAATGAACATTTTTTAATGTGAAAGGTTACGATCAAATTATTTAAAAAGAGATTCAGACTGCTCCTAAATGCTAGGATGGTGGTGGTAATATTAATTATTATCATTATGTAATAACTAAACATCAAACTACGCTACGAATGAACATTCGATAGGATTATGCGATCTCTAAAATTAACTCGGCTTGATAAATTATTTACATGTAAACGACACAACGATAATCAAGAATCTGAGAACAGAAAGAAATTTGTACATCGCGACTTTCATCTTAGCAATCTAGTATTACGCAGTAATTGCTGAAATAAAAAATCTAAACAAGAAATTTGTGGTGTATTTCCATTATATGGGCCAAAGGTGCTAAATGGAAAGCCATACGCTAACGCTGCAGATATTAATAGCTTTCGAACGGTTGTATACGAAATTATAACAGGTGAACGACCATTTGCCATGACCATTATCTTGTATACGACATCTATAAAGGGTACGACTATGATACCGTGCAGATGTATCTTTTGAAAAATTTTGATCCTATTCCTCTATCTACTTTGACAATAGGAAACTGAATACGTTACACTCAATATTACAGTTCTTTAGAATATTCTAGAACACGTAAAGAAATTAGAGAGCGTGTGTTAAATTAGAAAATGACATATCGATATATCAAATATTTAGGTTCTACAAGCGTTAGTCTGTATGTTCCAAATGAAGGTAAAATCCCTATTTTTCAAAAAATCAATATCGAAATATTAGAACCACTTGTTTTCCATGTGCGACTACTGAATGCGATAAAAATGTCGAAATGAAACTACCATTTGGCGGAATATAAGCAACATCCCCGTATTGGTTTTTTACCCTATTTTTTTGAACCTTAAAAAAATGGTGACAAACTTTTAATCAGATGCTTTAATTTTACGTCAAGATGGAATTGCTATTATAACATATATGGTTCAACAAATCTCTCCTTAATAATGAATACTCACAACAATATCCTAATGCTAAAAATACCTTCACAGCATCTTATAAATGGTT